AAAAAAAAAAAAAAAAAAAAACTATATTCGGTGCGGTTCGGTTAAAACCGCATCATTCGGACAAAAACCGAACCGCACCGAAACTTGTGTGGTTTTCCAAAAGTTTAACCGCACCGAAAACCGAAACTTAAAAAACCGAACCGAACCGCACCGAATACATCGGTTCGGTTCGATTTTTCGGTTTCGGCTCGATTTTGCTCACCCCTAACCGTAGCGTCTTCCATTATATATATCGAATAGGTCACTTCATAAACACAACTGTTTGACAAATTATACCATTTTTTGATTGACCTTTTATTTTTATTTTTATTTTTATTTTTTACTTTGGTACCAATAGTTTGGAAAGACCGAAAATTTGTAATGTCTTTATCACTTGTTCATTGACTAATTTTTTTTTTTTCCTGTGTCAAAGTCGCCGATTTTGATTAGAAAATGAAATGTTGTGATAATGTATTAATGATAATTAACGCCAATTATGTGGATAATTTTAAGTGGGAGGGATAGGTAAGGTTTAATTATTTTAAAAGAATTTTATCGTTGTTAATTCGGACTTTAAAATATTCTAAAAGAATGAAAGTCTTTATTAGAGATTTTTAAAAGTTATAGGATTTTTAATTTATTTACATTTTTATTTTAATAGAACTATGTATATATATTCATAGGGTACATTTTTTTATTAGATACAATAATATTAACACTTTGATGTACAAAACTTATAATACAAAACATTTATTTATGTTATTTTTAAGTCTTTTATATATAATTATATGATAAAAATTTTATATAAATATTTTTGAAATTTTTTAATTAATTATTAGGTTCAATAAGATCAAATGACCCGACAGTTGAATCGGTGACCCGTAGGCATGTTTGGGTAAAATTCCGGCCGATTTAAAAACTATGCTATTGAGATTTGTTTGAATTTCTTAAATTTTTTGGAGATTTCAAAGTTCAAACGCAAATGAAATAATAAAAATTTGATTATTTTTAAGTTATTGAAATTCACTAATGAATACATTAATTTTCAGTTAAATGGAGTAAATCGTGAAATTTTAGTATGTAATTTTATTTATAAACTTATAAGTTATAACACTTGTTAATATAATTATATCAGTTGCAAATGTTACTATATAATAATGTAAACAAAACATAAGAAAACGGTTATGATTTCGTTACGG